GTATTCCTGCCCGGTTGAGGTTCGTCCAGTGCCTGCGCCGATACCGTGACACCAAACGGGCCTTTCCCCACCTGGTCAATGCTGGCAAATATTCCACCACCTTCTTCATGGTGACATTTGCAGCCCTTTACAGAACTCACAAAGGTACTGATGATCAGCCCAGTTTCTCCTCGACAGACTGCAACATTTCTCAGGCTTGTCAATTTCTCTGTCTTTAGAGCCTTCTACATATTACCAGGGAGGTTCTGGTTGGATCTCTGAATGTGTTTTTAACATAATTTAAAAAAAAAAAAAAGCCATATGGCCTAACTTGGATTGGGCCGTGGTTGTTGTTGGGGGGGTTTAATCTCCCGGTGTGTTGTTCGCCTGGTAGATATCATCTCTTCAAGTTGCTGTTAGCTCCAGTGGGTTGGGGGAGGAAGGATACGTGTGTGTGTGTGTGTGTCCCCCCCCCCCGATCAGCAACTGAGGAAAAGGTTAGATTGCTTCTTCTCCAGTGCTGTTGTCTCACTCAACATCAGGAGGGCTCTTTAGCTGTTTTTCCTTTCCTTTCCTTTTTTTTTTTTTTGGAAGTTCAGAAATACATTGAGAGATCCAGTCAGACATCACCCGTGCAGTATGTAGTTTGACCCTTATATGTGAGAAGGGGATGCTGCTAAGGTCTGGCAGTACAGCACGGGTCCCCAGCCTTTTTGGGCCTGCAGGCACATTTGGAATTCTGATATTGCATGGTGGGTGTAGCAGCCAAATGGCCACCGCAGGAGGTGGAGCCAACCACAAAATGATTGCCGCAGTGTAACTTCAGTAACTCGGTGTAGAGCCTTGGGCTGTAGTGGCAGCTGCTGCCCAAGCAACATTTTTTCTAAAAATCTGCACAGCCAATCAGAACGCCTGTAGTCAGTCAGACGCCTTGCTGAACAAACGCCCCACGTGGCCCCGCCCACCTCCTCAAAACACTTGGCGGGGCACCAGAAGAGTTGTTGGTGGGCACCACGTTGGGGACCACTGGAGTACGGGTTGAGCTTCAGTAGCAGCTTTTAGAGAAACAACTCGCTCCTTTTGCAGTTCTCCCCCCCCCCGCTTTGAAATTTGATTAAACTTTCGGCAGTGGCTCAGTGAAACCAAGTCAGTATGGTGGTCTTTCATGCATATCCCCTAAAGCTTTTCAATAAAATGAACTCCCCCCACCAATTTGTTATACAAGCACTACGTATAGTTAAAGTAAAGGTAAAGGTTCCCTTGCTCGAAAGCCAGTCGAATCCGACTCTAGGGTTGCGGTGCTCAGGACTATTTTTGGGTAGGAACACACAGGAACGGAGTTCCGGCTGGCTCCCAAGTTGGCCATGCCCAGCAGGAACTCATTAGCATAATAGGCCACACCCAACAGCAGGAACTCATTCGGATTGGCTACGATTAGGGGTGTGTGGCCTAACATGCAAAAAGCCCTGGGTTTTGACAACAAACAAGGTAAAGAGAATAAGAAGCAAAAGGTGGGTGTGGCTGAATGACCACACTTCTGGTAACACGGAGGTGTGGCCTAATATGCAAATGAGCCATGCTGTCAGGAGTGTGGCCTAATATGCTAATGAGTTCCTGCTGTTGGGTGTGGCCTATTATGCTAATGAGTTCC